ATTATTCAGCACTTGACACAAACCAGTAAGGATATAGGAAGCAGGCAGAAAGGACAGCCCTAAATCATGCCCTATGGTAACTGCTCTTACTTGGAAATGTTGAAGCCTGTCAAACTGCTGATTGCAACATCTCGCTTAGTCATGTCTGTTTTTTCAGATATGCCCCACAGAGTGGGAATTCATTAGAGATGAAAGAAAAATAGCAAAACSCTACTGAACTAGCTTTCATTTTTACCACTATTAGGTTCTTCAAAATCCAGTCTCTTCTGCTGGCAGCCCTTACTCAAGTATGCATTCTTACTCACAGAAGCAATCTGAGAAGCAATTTGTAGTAGCTGTTTACTTCAGAAAGGGAAAAAAAAAAGTTTATGCTCAACACAAACCATTCATGTACCTCGTACTGAAGTTCTTGAAATAGAAATGAAGTTCTCAACATATCAAAGGATTTATTAGCCCTCTGCACAGGAAGAAATTTCACTCAGTGTGCAAAAAAGGTGTCAAAAAAGGTCCCAAATCTTTTCATCCATTATCATCTCATGCAATAAGATATCCCTTAGATTCTCAAGTAGATCAGTCTCTTTATTTGAGCTACAAAGCATAATTATATTTGTAGGACTAATACACTTTAAAGTCAACTTAAATAAGTAGCTTATTTCACTTACATAGGAGGCAAATTTTAATAACCCTTTTCTAGCACTAGTCTCATCTTTCTGCTTCCCCTGGAGTAAGCAGGAGCAAGTAGGAGAATGATGTCTACATTAATGAACACAGAAGGGCAAGGAAGAGTGTTGAAGCCCTGTAGTGCTGATCATCCACCCTGATCATCACTTCCATTCTGTGTCGAACAACTTACCTTGTTCCCAGAGCCCAAGCACAGGGCAGAGGATGGTCCTCTCCAAGGACCCCTCTTGGCAGGGAAGACAGGTTTGACTGCCGGCAATTTGGCTCCTGCCYACCTCCAGCTCCTCCAAAACGATGCCAGCAGCCTTGCATAGGCTAAAACACCTCCGTGCCCCACGGCCTGCAGCACCCACCCTCCAGGGCCTTCCATAAAAACATCATCTTGGAAGACCACAAGGCAACTCTCATGTTATTTCAGGCTCTTTGCTCAGTAACACCCTTCCTTATGCACATACCTAAAATAATAGCCATGTGTTATGGCTGTAGCAGGGAACAGAATCCAAGAGGATGAAGGATTAAATGCCAGATAGTGTGGACAAAGACTGTCTGCACTACAGAAAGAGAGCCCTAAGCAGTATGAATATGAGCCATTTCTACCTTTTAAGCATTTAGAGTCTGCGCTTCTTGGTTTTCTTCTTCTCAAGAAATCTCAACCCACAGAAAACCACAGCAAACTCTCTACCTCTACTCTTCTCACTACRAATGACAAATTTTCTTGATGCTTACTGCAGCTTTTCTAACACAAAATCCAAGGATAAATGAGAGAATAGGAACAGGAGCTTTCTAAAAAAATAAAAAGCAAATTTTCCCTTATGTTCCAAAAATAAAGAAGCTCTGGTTTGCAGCTTTGACTTGTGACTCATGCTATAAGCTTTCCCATAAGGTTCTACAACTGAAATGGATTTGAAAGGGAAAAACATAGTAACAGTCTTTGCTATGTAACATAGAGACTGGAGTAAACTATCACAAAATGTTGTGAATCTGTTTTGAAAACACAGAATTATCTGARTCAAAAACAATAATGCAGCTCTGTATTCCCACCTAATTCATTCTGACATTTTCTAAATGAAAGTTTTAATTTCAAATTATGTCATGCCAAAGTTTTTCTCAATGTATATAAAAATATGAAAATCTAAAAATAGATMTATAAAATAAAAAATTGTTTACAAGTCATTTTTTTTCCACAAATTTCTACTTTTTCTGTCCTTTCTGGATGATATAGGATACCTCAAAAAATAAAAACCAAATCACTGTCACTTGCACAATTCTTCAGCATTGCAAAACTGACAGAAACTTTGCATTGGCAAAACGTAATACTATTGTGACGGTAAAGCACCACAGATGCAACTCTGTACAAAACAGAAGGCAGAAAAAGCCCTTTACACCCAAAAGTAGAATCCATTTTTAATTTTAAATTAAAACCAGAACCATGCTTAATTCTAAGGGACTGATTCTGGTATTATTGTCATTACAAAAATAACCGCATCTTAAATTCTACCTAAAAGAATGATAAATGATGTTAATCATTGAACATGCCAACTGCCTTCATTTTTCATCTGACACAGAATTCCTTCTTAAGAGACATGAATGGCTTCAGTAGGGAAACCTCATCTGGCTGTTTTGCCCCCCAAAAAAGAGCACACATAATCTTGTACATCTCTGATGTCCTGCATCTTTTCTTCATTCCCACTTTGACACAACCATCAGGATTATCAGCAGCTGTGCCTGACTAAGCTGGATCAGATCTTTTCAGAAACAGATTATCTTGCTCGGAAAGAAATACTCTTACTTCTCAGATAAGTTCTAGCTGGCTAAGCTTTAAGTATTTGTTTCATGACCCACTAGATCCTTCTGACAAGGAAATACACATTAAAATAGCAAATCTCTTCTATGAACACAACTCTGCTGCCTGATGAGAAGAGACTTCCTTCTGCGAGGAGGAACCACTGAGTTTCAGTCCAAAGTTGCAGGGGCAGTTTATGTTTTGAGTAGATCTTCATAGTAAATGAAGATCTCATCTCATCCTGTCCTTTTACCATATAAACACTACGAGAAACAAAACCATTCACTAGGACTGACATCAGGAGTAATGTCACCAGCATCTGAGCCTTATATTTGTAGTTCAGGTCAACATTTTGAAGTTCCTAAGTTCTCTTGGCTGATTCTGTTGCTTATGAATGAGAAAATTAAAGGTTAATGTATGGCTGAGGGTTACTTCATTCTGTGCTGGTGTGGATTGCTTGGCCCTGAATGACAGGTCTCTCCTTAAGCCCATCTGCAACCATGTAGCTTCAAAGTAGAAATGGTGACTTGGTGAAAAGTAGAAATGGTGAACCTCATGAGAAACCTCATGAGCTTCAACAAGGGCAAGTGCAGGGTCCTGCACTTGGGGAGGAATAACCCTGGACACCAGTACAGATTAGGCGTGGACCTGCTGGAGAGCAGCTCCGCAGAGAGGGACCTGGGTGTCATGGTGGACGACAAGTTGACCATGAGGCAGCAGTGTGCCCTGGTGGCCAAGAAGGCCAATGGGATCCTGGG